AAATTCAATTTTTATTTTGATTTCCAATTTGACAATCGAAATATAAACTACAATAATATAACGGATAAGGTCATAAATTTAAAACGAACAAAAAATGATGTTAAAATATATAATTTATAAACATGAACGGATCTGACATCGATAACCGGACATTTCAGGCAACGTCTTTCGTGATATAAGAAATGTTTTAAATAATAATACAATATTATTAATAAGAAATTAAACATAATTGAAATATAATATTTGTGTGTGTGTGTGTGTGTGTGTGTGTGTGTGTGCGTGCGTGCGTGCGTGCGTGCGTGCGTGCGTGTGTGTGTGTGTATAAAACTCTCATTTTAATCCACAATATGAATCAAAAGAACACCTCGAAGCTAAACAGACACGTAATTTAAATAGAGAAGAAGGTGGTATTATGGCACTCTAGGTTTTATACAATTACTTTTGTTAATAATTAATATTTGAATTTAAAATTTAATCCATTATGTTCGTTAAAATATTATTCAATAGGTTCTAGACTAAAAGTTACAAAATATATATTACTTATGAATCTATTTATAAAAAAGTGGCAGATATAATGGCTTGAAGAGAAACACAAGTGATAATGTGGTCTTCCACAAAAACAAACTTGAAAAATTGGTTTTGCTTAAAAAACACTTATTACATTAATAAAAATTACATTAATAAAAAATATAAAGATAAAGTAATTAATAAATAACAAAATATATGCAAATGTATATACGTACGCAACTTCTTCCGCATATAGGCTGTTTGTGTGCTATCACAAAAATCACTAGAGTACATAAACATAGATCAATAATAGATTTACAATCAATTTATGGAATAATTATTGTATTTTGATTTTATTTTAAAATATTGTATAAAAATCTGGAAAAAGAAGTCGTCAGAAGCAATTAGCATGCTTAGCGAGCCATTAGTAAAATGCTATGTTATTGTTTAACTTTGCATAACTTGAAATGTACAGCCAAATAAAATGTTAAATAACGCACTTAAATATACATATATTCATGATAATACATTTAAGAAGAATAAGGAAATATGTATAATTAAATGTAAAAATATAAAAATGTTTCGTAAAATATGCTTGGAAGTAAAAATTCGTTATAATAAATGCTGACTATTGTGTAGTAAAATATTAGCGTTAGCGTCATGGTATAACGGCGGAGCTACTAAATAATTCCATAAGTAAACAATAGGAATTTGCTACTTAAATAACCTAAGCAGAGATATTAAAAGCCATTATATCTACACTGGCATAATACTACCGTATCTTCTAAATAGAAACTAAAAATTGCAAATCCTTTATATCGTATAAATATGATTAGAACATAAATTAAGCGATCGGTAGGATGATACAATAAAATAACAAAAAAATATAAACTTTCAAATTGTAAGCTTTCGTTTTTGCAAATGATCTATTTTGTGATTTCACATAACGAAACAGTTATACATAATAAAATTGGTTCGATGCATTTGTACAATAATTTACGGGAAGAGAACTGGCCATATTTAGATTTTCAAAAACAAGTCCTTTTATTTACACAAAAAATGTGCTATAACGTTTTAAATATTAGACATGAAAATTCAAAATCAACAGAGAAACACAAAATGTAGGTAGGTTTTATCAAGGTTATCGAAATCATGTTGACCAGCGTAATTTTTCAGGTACAAAGGCGATAACGTGATAAACTACAGCCAGCGCGGGGGCATTAGTGTCGTGACGGAAAAGCAAACGCGAACGTCACGTCTTCTGATCAGCAGAGCGCTGCCAGCCGATTCCGGCAATTACACCTGTGCGCCATCCACAGCCGAGTCAGCTAGCGTTCTTGTCCACGTGCTCAATGGTGGGTGAGTCGCGAATGAAATCATACATCACCGAAAATCTTCAATATTATCTGCCAAAATGTCGCAATATGTCTCCGTATATCTTTCTCACGATAATATCGACAAAATTATTGGCTTTCTACGTGGTAGTCTTTTTGGATGGTTTCGACATTCTCGACATTTTAAATAAAATTTCAAACGCATGTAAATATGTCAGCGCGGATAAAAATATGCTGTATACGTTAAAATTGCCCGAGAGAGATACATTCAAATACAAAGCGATATCTACCCTTGTCAACGTGTCGCTATAAAAAGGCTTTATATTGTTCGCTCACCGCGTGGATTTTCGGCAAATTGTATCTTTTTCGGAATCAAACGCTTTGAACATATAAATCTGCAGAAAGATCGTAAATTGTTGCCATCACAATTGCTTTTTTAATCATGAATACAATTCTATAATTTATTATAATTTAGGTTAAGTAAAAAGGAGCATACAGCCACGCTAGAGATGTCAAAAAGTTATAATTCAATAATAAACATTTTACATAGTAGACGTTTCGGTCACGATTTGACCATCCTCAGTACAAAAATAAAAATAAAATAATAACCTTAACTATTTAAATCTAATTATTAAAATCTTATTCTTAATGTTAGTAATATCTCGCTTCTTCTTATGCGTTATTCGCATTGATGTCCGCATTTATAAACCTATGAACAATTTACATAAGTACATAAAAACGGGGAAAGATAAGGTCAAGAAAGAAGAACTTTCTAACGTCGTGTACAAAATTGATTGTAAAAATTGTAACTATTCGTATGTAGGTCAAACCAAACGAAAATTAAAAACCAGATTGAAAGAACATATCAATGATATTAAAAAACCTATCGATTCTCTTTCGGTGATTTCAAATCATAGGATTGACAACGAACATGTAATGGACTGGGATAACACAAGAATATTAGATTCAGAAAGGGCATATTACAAAAGATTGATTTCCGAAATGATACATATAAAAACACAAAGAAAAGTTTTAAATAAACAAAGTGATACCGAGCGGTTTCCTGACGTGTACCTCCCTCTCCTTGAACAATAAATTCAGCCCCACTCAAAAATCCTTCCACCTCTCCTTCAATTTCGTATTCCTCCTCCTCCTTTCCTTATTTCTTATAAATAGACTAACAATAAGGCCTGTGGCATTACTATCGCGAAGTCTCAAGTGATCAAAATTGTCAAGTGTCCGGCATGCAGGAGGGTTCCGTGCGCGGGATACGTGTAAGTGTATACTTTGTCTATCACAAATTCATTTGATCTAAATAGTTAGAATACGAAAATAAAATGACGGGAAACGGTTTTTTCAAAAAATATTTGCTTCACAATAGAAACTACCACTTACGTGTCTCTCTGCGGCGGTTCGTCGTCCTTTTTGGAACTTGAGACAGCCTGATAATAGTTACAATCGGAAATGATTCCACACGATAGAAAAAAGAGGAATTCTGTACATTCTAACATTAATTCGTTCAAATTTATGTTAATTGATTGTATCAAAAAACGTTATATTGTTAAATGCGGACATCAATGCGAATAACGCATAAGAAGAAG